GCTTGCTGCCTGGCATTGCCCCTATCCTGTTTACAGCGCTTACTTGGCTTGGCGCTTTTGCTGTTCAGAGCGCTTGCTGTGCGGCATTGCCCCTATCCGCCCTATGCTGTTTCTGGCGGTTGCTTAGCTTTTTCTTATGCTGTTGACAGCGCTTGCTGTGTGGCATTGCCCCTATCCGCCCTATCCTGTTTACAGCGCTTGCTTGGCCTTGTTTTGATGCTGTTTACAGCGCTTGCTTGGCATTGTTTTTATGCTGTTTACAGCGCTTGCTTGGCTCGACTCTCATGCCGTTTATGAGCTTGCTGTGTGGCGTTGCCCGTATCCGCCCTAGCCTGTTAACAGCTATTGCTTGGTTTGGTTTTTATGCTGTTTACAGCGCTTTCTGTGTGGTATTGCCCCTATCTTGTTTACAGCGCTTGCTTGGCTTGGCTCCTATCCTGTTTACAGCGCTTGTTGGGCTTGGCTCTTATGCTGTTTACAGCGCTTGCTGTGTGGCACTGCCCCTATCCTGTTTACAGCGCTTGCTTGGCTTGGCTCTTATGCTGTTTCCAGCGCTTGCTGCGTGGTATTGCCCCTATCCTGTTTACAGTTCTTGCTTGGCTGGGCTCTTATGCTGTTTACAGCGCTTGCTTGGCTTGGCCGTTATGCTGTTTAGAGCGCTTGCTGTGTGGCATTGCCTCTATCCGCCCTATCCTGTTTACAGCGCTTGTTTGGCTTGGCTCTTTTGCTGTTTACAGCGCTTGCTGTGTCGCATTGCCCCTATCCTGTTTACAGCGCTTGCTTGGCCTTGTTTTTCTGCTGCTTAGAGCGCTTGCTGTGCGGCATTGCCGCTATCATGTCTACAGCGCTTGCTTGGCTTGGCTTTTATGCTGTTTACAGCGCTTGCTGTGTGGCACTGCCCCTATCCTGTTTACAGCGCTTGCTTGGCATGGCTCTTATGCTGTTTACAGCGCTTGCTGTCTGGCATTGCCCCTATTCTGTTTACAGCACTTGCTTGTCTTGGCTGTTATGCTGTTTGCAGCGCTTGGTGTGTGGCATTGCCCCTATCCTGTTGACAGCGATTGCTTGGTTTCGCTCTTATGGTGTTTACAGCGCTTGCTGTGTGGCACTGCCCCTATCCTGTTTACAGCGCTTGCTTGGCATGGCTCTTATGCTGTTTACAGCGCTTGCTGTGTGGCATTGCCCCTATCCTGTTTACGGCGCTTGCTTGGTTTGGGTTTTATGCTGTTTACAGCGCTTGCTGTGTGGCATTGCCCCTGTTTTATTTACAGCGCTTGCTTGGACTTGTTTTTTATGCTGTTTAGAGCGCTTGCTGTGTGGCATTGCCCCTATCCGCCCTATCCTGTTTACACCGCTTGCTGTGTGGCATTGCCCCTATTTTGTTTACAGCGCTTGCTTGGCAGCGCTTGCTGTGTGGCATTGCCCCTATCCGCCCTATCCTGTTTACAGCGCTTGCTGTGTGGCATTGCTCCTTATCCTAATCTGTTTACAGCGCTTGCTTGGCTTGGCGCTTATGCTGTTTAATGCTGTACAGCGCTTGCTTGGTTTGGCCGTTCTGCTGTTTACAGCGCTTGCTGTGTGGCCGTGCCCCTGTCCTATTTACAGCGCTTGCTTGGCTTCGGTCTTATGTTGTTTACAGCGCTTGCTGTGTGGCATTGCCCCTATCTTGTCTACAGCCCCTGCTCTACTTGGCTCTTCTGCTGTTTACAGCGCTTGCTGTGGGGCAAATGCATACCGCATACCTCGATTTTTTTTTCGAGAAAACTCTGAGCACAAAAGGGGTTAGGAGTCCGTGTATGGCGACCCACTATTCTTGCTGTTGCGTGTATTGGGCAGAGCCTGTCACTTGCCAAACCTTCCCAAGCTGATGGCCTAGGGCTGAGGAACCCTAATGCTGGTGTCCAGGGCTTGTGCTTTAGGGTCTCGGGTGCGGATGTAAGCCCGCGACAATGATATCAGACACCCCCATGCCCTGATGCCCCCGTAGTACTAACCCTGATCCCGAAGCCCCTGCATTGAAGATTTTTAGATAACTCGCTAACCCCTAAACCCTGAATAGCGGGGGCTATATAATCCCCAACATAACACCCTTTAAGGAGTTTAGACTACAGCTCCTACAGCTCATATAGGGCTCATGCAACGTGCCTGATTGGAAGCTTGCCACCTCAAGTTGGCCACGAAAATGGGGATTCCCAAAAGTAGGGATCCTGAGATTATCCTTGGTCGGTTCTTTCCTTTTTGAAGGTTCAGGGGCACTTAGGAAGTAAATTCATAACTTCTATAAAGCCATAAAAAACCACAGCTGGCCCTCCAAGTAACCCTAAACCCCGTAAATCCCTACATAACGTCAGTTTCCAGTTCATGTTCCATTTTTCTTTTCCGCCCAATTCTCCAATACTGGGGCACTAGGATGTTTAAACCCTAAACCCTAAACCGCCGATGTAGCCGGGTTGCCAGGATGGCGGTATCGCCGATCGCCCTGGCGACGTGCCGCTAACTAAGTGGGGAGCATTTACTGGGTTGCTGTTAAGGAATATAGGGTTTAGGGTATAGGGTTTAGGGTATAGGGTTTAGGGTTTAGGGTTTAGGGTATAGGGTTTAGGGTATAGGGTTTAGGGGCTATATTATCCCCCTATAATGGAGAATCAAATGGAAAAGAAAAGGGAAAATTAAATGGAAACTGGGGTAAGATAGGGTTTTAAGGAACTTAAATTAAGTTACTATATTGGGGAAGCCCTATTATTTACTTTATATACCCATTATGGTAACGTAATGTAAGTTCCTTAACAGCAACCCATTTTAGTGAAGAACCTAAGAAACTCCCAGTAGTCTTGGTCCCTTTGGAAGAGTTTTGGCGGAGACAAGCTTGAGGGTTAGCATCTAGGGGTACCAGAGAATCAAATGAATATGAACATCCCTAAACCCTAATCCCTACAACCTAGACCCTACATAAGTGGAACCTGGGGTTATATACGGCTGTATACTGATAATTCCCAAGCTCATGGTCGCAAGGTTCTTTCCATGGTTAAGGGCTTAGGGTGTACCTCAAATAGATCTCAAATTGACATTGGCAAGTACTTTAGGCCCCAACAATAGTGAGTCATTGCTGGAATCCACATCGTCATCATACTATACCCCAATGAAGCATGCCATTGCAGTTTTAGTATCCCCAAATGTGTCAGTACATCTTTTCGTGTGTACAAGTTCTGGACAGCCAGGGATACAGCAAGGTACTTGTAGTAGTATGGTTCAGCATCCAAGGTGGGGGGTTCCCACAGCCTGAATGATTAAAAAAAATCCCTATTAATGGAAGTGGGTACAGTTTCATATGTCATATACGCTGCTCTAATCATTTACCTAGACCTGCCAATGTCGTACATGTACAAATCTCGAAACAATCTTCTCTACTCTGAACCACATACGTCCTGCTTTGTGGGTTTAGCTTGAGTACTGCCCCTACGGATTAACAGGTGGATAATATTTATGATATACTTATACGGAGCCCTTTATGTGCCCCCTATTATAGCCCCTAAACCCTAAACCCAATAGTATTATAGACTGTTCATGGTTGGGGGCAGGACCCAAGGTTTAGCCATGAGGAAGATGGTTCATTCTACAGCCTGGGGACATGCAGGGAGGACCCTTACTTTGAGAAATTGAGGCCGAAGAACTCAGTTGTGTCTATTCCGAAGCTCTCAGTGTTGGGCTTTGCCTGCAGCATTGTTTCCTAACTTAGTCCTGCTATACGGACCGCCAAGCGGCCAGAATGTTGAGAACCCCTGACTTTGGCATGAAGTCAAGCCTACTTCGAGGTTCACGGGTAGTTACAAACCTGGGGCCATAAACAGTACAACTACAGTTAGGACTGGCTGCAACCTTGTTTTGGGTAAGGAAAGCCTTACCTCTGTCCCTTCAATCTCCACGTACTGATTGTTTCGTTTCCATTCCTTGGGATTCTAATTGGGTTTAGCAGTTATTCGAGGTAAGGAATGAAGAAGTGAATACCTAAAGCAATTCCTACAAAATCCCGTGTAATCATCCCAGCACCTACCAAGCACAAGCGACCGTGAACATAAACTGCGCCAAGCGTCTACCCTAAACCCTGAATCCTGCACAAATCCTTCACCCCGCATAAGATTGAAACCCTAAACCTTGCATGGACCCTTTGCCCTACTTAAACAATGAACCATCTTCACGCTTAAGCGCTTTAGGCCCGATGTATTCCACACCTTCTTTGGGCTTGCCGGACTGTCTCTGATGAGGCACCCTGGAGACAGTGTTTACACAGGCTTAGAAATGGTTGTTGTTTCAGAACAGGCGTGGCCTCGACAGCCCCAAAGATATGTACCGACAGAGTTCGGGTTTAGGGTTTAGGATTTTCTGTTCACCCTCCCCCCTAAAGCCCTCTAGTACACAGACTGTAGATTTCTAGACCGTTTTGGGACTTCATGTTTCATCGGGGCGAGGGTACACATGCTTATGAAATTGTTCTGCAGGATTATGAACAGGTCTGCAAGGGGTACAGTACAGCACATAACAGGGTGTTTTGTTTGGGAGCGCGTGCACATGAATACTGGAAGCAAAAGTTGAAAGCTCCTTGGTCGCTTCATCCACGCTCAAGTCTTAAAGGATAGGTAGGTCCGCCATGAAGCTAGAGGCCTTTCTGGCCACCCTTTGCTTTCAGCTGGCACAAGTGGGGCTTCATAGAGACCCTGCAGTGACAAGAGGAGCATCAGAATTGGTTTGTGAGTGCCATTGTTCCTGTCCTGTGTGGACCCCTGAGATTCAGACGTGGCAACTCTGGGGCGCTGGGGTGGCAGGTGCAGGCATCACTTTCTTGGCGGGACTTTTTGGGTTCCGACGGGGACCTAGGTCAGCTCCCACCAGCCCGCGAAGGAAGGGCCATGGCGTACTTGAACATCCGGGTTGGGGATACTTTGGCGCACTGGTATCAGGACGATGACTGTTGGCACGAAAGAAGGGCACTATGGCGTGTGAAGGAGGGCGTCTGGGCGATCTACACACCTGATGCCGACCTTTACGTTGAGGACCTTCGGGGCGTGGAGGACGGACCCAGCCGGTGCAAGATCAAAGGAACCCATTTTAGATATTGGAGTAGAGTGGGTGGACCCAGCTACAAGTTCGCGAGTCCCATCGGAGAGGAAGAACTAAAGCTGCTCACTAGACGGGGTTATGAGACTGCCAGGCAGGAGGACGACTTTGATCCGGAATGGTTGCCCGATCAGGTGGTTGTTGGGGACACCGTGAGGGGCTTTGATGAGCTCTTTGGCGGGTCCTTTTTGCCTAGGCGCCTTAAGATGAAACAGCCACGTAGGCAGGTAAACCTTCCTCTTGACGAAGGGGCTGGGGTTGGACAGACAGATCCTGGGCCCACCTGCTCTTGCGGAGCTTCTGCCTGAGGACGCCCTTCGCTACCTGGAGGCCCCTGAGCGCATGCTGAAAGAGGACGGAGATTGTCATTGTGATGTTGTGCCTTATTGGGATGCCACACTTCGCAATAGCCCCCGTGCCTACAAGGACTTTATCAGGCACCTTTACAAAATAGGGTATTTGGATGTGACCTTGGAGCCCAAAGAACGTGCTGGCATGTTTTTTGTGAAAAAATCCGATGGGGTGAGGATCCGACTCATCATCGACGCCCGGAGAGGAAATGCAAGGTTTCGGGACCCTCCCGGAATTTCTTTAGCCACCTCGGAAGCCTTTGCCAGGTTCGAGCTCGAACACCACATTGCGAATCCGGACATGGAGGCGGGCATTGACACTCCTGTTTTGTCAGTGGGGCTTTCGGATGTCAAGGACTGCTTTCACCGCATGGTTCAGCCTAAGTGGTTACGGGAGTATTTTTGCCTGGATCCGGTGCCGGCTCATTGGCTGGGGTTAGGTGGAACGCTTCTCGGTGACCATCGGCTTCGGGACGACGACTTGATATTCCCCATGCCGGCTCCTTTGTGCATGGGTTTCAGTTGGTCTCTTTACTACGCTCAGAAAGTGAACCAGCATCTGATGAGCCGAATCCCCACCTTAGCTTGCTCGAGGTTGTTCTCAGATCGGTCTGAGCCTGTGGTCATCAAGAGCGGGCACAGCGAGGCACAACCGAGTCACCACTTTGTGTACGTAGACAACCTCGGGATCTTGTCCACAGATGCTTGCGCCCTCAATCACTCCTTGAGCCAGGTTACGAAGGTCTTCTATGATCACCGCCTGGACTTGCACCCGGGCGAGGTGAAGCATGAGGCTGTGGACACGTTGGGATGCCGTGTTGATGGGGTAAAGCATGTCACTACTTTGAAGCCAAGCCGGGCGCACAAGGTCAGACAAGCTTTACGCGGCTTACTTCAACGAGGCAAGTGTAGTGGGAGGCTACTTGAGAACATCATTGGACACCTGACGTACTCCTTCCTTATGGCTAGGCCAATGTTGTCCATCTTTGACCGAGTCTATAAGTTCATCAAGCGGCACTATGATGCGAAGGCGGTCCTATGGCCTAGCGTACGAGATGAACTTACTGCGGCTCTAGGGGGCATCATTTTCTGCCAGGCGGATTGGAATCGTGGATGGAACAAGTTGGTGTCCGCCTCAGATGCTAGTTTGGAAGGATACGGAGTGTGCGCGTCCAAGTGGCCCATCAACATTGTGCAGAGCGTTGGAAGGCTTCAAGAGCGAGAACGATTCCGGCGGACGGCTCGGCACTCAGCACGGGAATCCGCCTTGGAACAAGCACGGTTATCGCCAGATGGCAGTGTGGATCAGCGGGATGCATATGAGGCCGGCTTTGACATCGATCATGGATTCCGGGAAGTCCCTCATGAGCTGTTGAAGGAGGACAATTGGTCCGTGAAGTTAATGGGCAAGTGGAAACATCGTGAGAATATATATGAATTGGAGAGCCTCGCTCTGCTCAAAGCTTTCTCTAGGATTGCACGGGGCAGATTTGGTCATGACACACGGCAGTTGCTATTGGTTGACAACATGGCGGTTTGTTTAGCCTTCAGTAGGTGCCGGTCGAAGAATCGCAGGGTGCTCAACATCATACGGAAGTTCAGTGCGTGGTCACTTGCTCGGAATGTTGCCTGTGCCATTCGCTGGGTGCCATCGGAACTGAATGCGGCCGACAAACCTTCAAGAACACAAGGGATCAAAGCGGACCCGAACACTTTCCCCACCAGCTACATCAAAGCCGACGACAGCAAGCAGAGTGAGAAACTTGGAGTCCAACTCCGCCAGCCACACAACATCAGCTTCGCGGACTCTGAAAGCAGGGGAGTTGGCTCACTCGTTGGTCACGCAGAAAGTGGCCGCAAAACACCTTGGAGACCAAACACTCCAGGTCAGAGTCAAAGAGCGGAAGCCAACTCGCGGAGCCCGAAAACAGAACAGCCTCCTCAAGCACCACGGATCCAGGGAGTCCGGTTGCTACAAGGGGTCGGGAGCGAGAACGGACGTTGGCAACCCGACAAAAGCGGAGACTCAAGAAGTACCTAGACAAAGCGTTTGCGGCCGAAGCCAAAAGGACCACGTTCCTCGAGGACCAGGTGGTGACAAAGCAAGTCCAAAAGTACTACCAGAAAGAGGTGGACCAGCTTTTGGAGTACGTAAAACGTCAGGGCCTAGCCTTCGAGAAAGACGAAGACATCGATGGCGGGATTGTCCTATACATGAACAAGTGCTTCTGGTCGGGAGAGCAGGCGCACAAAGGAGAGAAGCTTCTTGCAGCGTTCATGCACCAAAGGCCCAGATTTGGGAGGTTGGGATCCCGGAAGTTGCCCCGCGCTTGGCGGGCTTTGAAAGGCTGGAGGCGCCTCACCCCTGCCCGAAGCAGAAGGCCGTGGCCTCTCAGCGTTTGGACAGCCGTTGCGTGCGAGCTACGAAGGCAGAACCACACAAGAATGGCGGTTTACGTCATGGTGGCTCTGAGCTCCTACGCCAGACCAGCCGAGTTGCTGAGAAGTACCACGTACTCGCTGGTGCCCCCGGTACGGCTGGCTACTGCAGAGTGGACTCTTCTTCTGTCCCCGGAACACCTGGAGCGGCCTGGAAAAACCGGCGAGTACGACCTGTCCGTGGCTTTGGACTCTTCGTACCTGAAGCCTTGGTGCCAAACAGTGTTCGAGCTGCTAAGGAAGCAGCACGCCAGCACGCCTCTTTGGGATTTCGACTACGGCGACTTCGTCACGGAGTTCCACAAGGCGTGCAAAGCCCTCAGCCTGGACCTTTCGCCGTACCAGATGCGTCACTCCGGTCCCAGCATCGACAGAGCCAACAACTGGCGCACAGCGCTGGAAGTCCAAAAGCGAGGGGGCTGGAAAAGTGCCCGCTCAATGATGCGGTACGAGAAGTCAGCCCGCCTCGGAGCCGCCTTCCTCGAGCTACCCCTCAAACTTCGACATCATTGCCAATGGTGCGAAGAACATCTCGGGGATGTCATCCTTGGAAGGCGCGCTCCGTTGGCGCCTCCTTGACCAAGCACCATGGCTCCTACTTTTTGGACCTGTTCTCTGGCAAGGGCGGTGTCAGTCGGGGGTTTCGAAAGCTTGGATTTCGCTGTTATGAGTTTGACATCATCCATGGACCGTCTTTCGATCTGACAAAGAAGACGGTTGTTCAGCAAATACGCCGGGGCATCTCCAGAGGAGAAATCCTGGGGGCTATGCTGGCGCCGCCTTGTAGCTCCTTTTCAGTTGCTCGAGACCGCACAGCTGTGATACGCTCAAGGCGTTTTCCATGGGGTTTGCCTCTCAGATTCCTATCGGCAATCGACAAGGAAAAAGTTGCGATTGGCAATGCTTGCGCCAGATCAGCCATTTCTATCATTCAAGCTCTAGATTCCCAAGGCCTCCCCTGGTGTCTCGAAAATCCACACTCCAGCAAGATCTGGTATCTTCCTGAATTGCAGCGTCTTTCCCAAGCTTCACATGTGCAACTTTGTGTCGTTGATTTCTGTCAGTATAACACCCGTTGGAAGAAACCCACGCGGCTGATGTTTGGCAATCTTGACTTGCAGGACACAGAATGCCTTCAGAAAAGACGTTGCACTGGCCTGAAAGGGGTTTGCAGTCGCTCAGGCACGACCCACCTGCAGCTCACAGGCTCCGCTCCGAATGGGCAGCCTCTCACGCTTCTGGCCCAGCCCTACCCGCCCGGCCTCTGTCGTGACTTGGCCTACATCCTGGCGGCTCCCTACGTCACGTCCGGCTTTACAACGGGGTGGTGACCTACCACTTCGGGTACTTCGGAGAAGAGTTGGTTTGGACCCACTGCGGAGCTCTTTATGATCCTCCTTGTGGGCATGGGCATTTCAGTCGGTTTCTTGATGATCCTCCTGAAAGGCTTCTTCTACAACTCCGTAGGCGTTGGAGCGAGCTCGGGCCATGTTTCGGGGCTTTCAAGATCTCTCAGGATCCAGCCAACGAGCTGGAGTCTCTTTCAACCCGCGAAGACACTGCCAGAGACTCGAGAGCCTTCTGCCGCAAAAGGGGCGCGAGACATCTTGCTGTGAAGTATGGTTTTGGGGGGCTGGGAGCGGTGAAGGTGTTTTTTTTTGTTTGTGGCGGGGGAACGGTGGAGGTTTAATTTCATTTCACTTCAGGAACTGGAGGCTGTCGGGGGGGTTCGGGTTCTATGCTAGGTAGGGAAAATTCCACCAACCAGGTCATATCTTATGGGTCCAACTTAGAGAGTTCTTGTTGTGGGTCCCCCTTACACAGGGCCCCCCATTAAGGATTCCTCGGTCAACCCTAATGAACCCGTAAACGTTTGCTCAACGTTTTGCTTGAAACTTTAGCAGAGCTGTGATACGCCCCCATGCATTTTTTGGCCCTGCGGCCCACGCGGTAATATATTCCCTGGTGTCCATTTCATTTTCCAAGTTCTTTTCCATTTGATTCTCCATTTTGCCATTATCAAAATATTACCCCAACCCTAAACCATAAACCCTACATAATCCCATTATGCTTGTAGTTTCCATTTTCGTTTCCATTATCCCAACGTTGCATGGGGGAGGTTCCTGGAATTTCATTTCTGGTCTCCTGGGCCTTTTCAGTCTTGGTATCCGGCGTTTTACAACCCCTTCATTCGTATATTTGTGCGGAAGACTTCTGGAAGGACCTTGAAAAAGCCCCCTGGTGAAATCCTCCTATTTGTGATTAGTAGGGAGTCAAGGAAGGAAGCTACTTTTTGCAGCTATTTAGGGGATTCTGCATTAGAGAGATGTCCTTTGGGATCTGTTCCTCAATTTCCTGGAAAACCCTAAGCCCTAAACCCAAACCCAAAACCACCAGTAAGTCATCCCCAGGGAGCCCAATACCTTCTAGATTAGGTGCACCCCCCACCCTGTAATAGTGGCTATAAGGGATAATAAGGACTACATTAAGGTCCTCCTATATTCCTATTATACCACTATTACAGGGTGGGGGGTCCTCCTAACTTCTAGATAATATCAAGTTTCTTAGTATCATGACGGGCATATTCCTTGCTTTATTAGGGGATTTCTTAGACCCAAAAGACCTTCAGTTATAGGACACTATAGCATGAAGCGCCTATAGATTGCTGCAGGATGGGGGCAGCACCCAACCTAAACCCTACATCCAAGCCCTAAACCCTAAACCCTAAGCCTTCAACCCTAAGCCTTATGCCCTTAACCCTACTAAACCTTAAATCCTAAGTCCAAAGCCCTAAACCCTAAGCCCTAAACACTACTAAACCCTAAGCCCTAAGACCCAACAAATCTTAAATCCCAAATCCAAAGCCCTAAATTACGCAAGGCGCGCAGACCTCGCTCCGATCCACTGCGTCTACGCCTTGCCTCTGGAGGCATCAGAAGTTTGAGGGTGCAGAGTTTAGGTTTCAGGGTTTTAAGAGGTTGAGGGTTGAGGATTCAGGGTTTGGGGTTCAGGGGTTTGCGATTCAGGGTTTAGGGTCCAGGGGTTGAGGTCTTTTGGGTTTAGGGTTAGGGGTTTAGGGTTTAGGGCTTAGCGTTTAGGGCTTCGGGTTTAGGATTTAGGGGTTTAGGGATTTGAGTTTAGGTCAGGGTCTAGGGCTTCGTGTTTAGGGATTGAGGGCGTATAGGGTTTGCCATGCCCCAAAGTAAGGAACCCCATGCAGGGCCCTTTACAAGGGCACACTAGTCTTCTGGGGCCCATTTTCAACTTCCATGTCACTTTTTGGGAGGCTCAGTTTGTTGGTTTGTCGTCAGGAATTTTTTAGGAAAGATATAGCTGCATATGAGGATTATTGTAAGGGCTTTGACAGGGACTACTACGGGGATCAATGCCTCCCTTCCCTACTGACCACCAGTAGGCAAGGTTGTTGCTGCAAGGGTTAGTAGTTCAGGATTCAGGGTTTAGGGTTTGGGGTTCTGGGCGTAAAGTGCATAGGCAGAAAACTACCCGTAACCCCCATTACGTACAGCTTTATGGGTCATACCTGCTAACTGAGGGGTACTACAGCCAAGCTGTAGGTAATTGGGGCTTACAGATAGAGTGTTTGGGTGGAAAGCTAGAGGTTCTGCGGCTCCGAGACTTCTTTAAACCCTAAACCCCAAGCGGGTTTCACTGTTCTCTTTCAAATTTGCGCTGCCACAGACACTCCTATCCGTGGAGCCTCCAGACCCAACATGAGCTACAGTCTAAACTCCTTGAAGGGGCTTACGCACGGGAGTATTATAGAGCGTTTTTGAGTTTGGATACTAGGAGTTTAGACTATAGCTTCTGTGGAGTCTCCAGGCCCAATACGGTCCTCCATTTCAGTCCGAGCTTGGGGGCTGCTACGTTCCTGCGCCTGGTGCATCGCAGCGAGCCACGCAGAGGTAGCTTCAAACCAACTTCCATGTGGGAGGTGAGTTAGGGTTTAGTGGGGTCTGAAGAATTCGGGCGGAGATTTCTGAAAGACATGCTTAGTAGATGTGAGTAGGCCTTGAACATTCTTAGAGTTTATCTGGGGGGGTCCCAAACTTTGCGGCCCCTCTTGGGGCTATCCATGTCTGGAAACTCGGGTTACAGGTAATGCCTCAGAGACCCGCGCAGCGCTCTGCCGGAATAGGTAGGGCTACGCGAAGGCCATTTTAAACATCTGTAACCCCTGCCTGTAGGGGAGATTCCCCAAATCAGGGGGTTTAGTATTTTGGGGTTTGGGTCCCTCCCTTCATGGAAACTACACCGTAAGTTTCCATACCATTCCAGGGATCTGATCTTTAGATCCCTGAGCCTGAAGTCCCCCCCTAAACCCTAAACCCTAAACCGGGGAAGGTCGTGCAGAAGATGAAGCTTCCTCCAATCTTGCCCATCTACGACAGCAGGCAAACTGGGTTGCTGTTAAGGAACTTAAATTCAGTTACCATACTGGGTATATATTAATGTAAATAATCGGGTTTCCGGAATATAGTAACTTAGATTAAGTTCCTTAACAGACAATTTGGGATACGTTTTAGAAGCGTCTACGGTTTGGGATCTTGGTAACCCAAGTCCTGTAAAAAGGACCCTATAGAGTCATAGCATCCTTGCTTTGGGGGACTGGAGAGCCGAAAAAACCCCTTGCGAACTGTTGAAAGTTCATGTGCGGTTACCTTTGCTTATCCATGCTAGATTCTTCGGGTTCTAAGCCTAGAATCTAAGGCTAGAGGTCTGAGCCCCTCATATTCTGTCTTCAGGCCTTTTAAGGGGATTGTGAGCCCCAAGAGCTCGCAGTAGATTTTTGTGTACTCTAGTTCGGATGGAAAGACCAATAAGGTTTGTTCTAGCCCAAAACCCAAAACCAACGTAAACCCTTGGGCCTGAACATGTGGGCTGGAATCAGACCTGGGGCCTTCCCAGCGTCCGAACTTGCCCTGGGCATGCGCAGGTCTAGGCTTAAACTGGGCTGCTGCCAGGGAACTTGAATTAAGTTACCATAATGAGAAAATATAGTATCTCATATGTTTTCCCTTATCTAGTAACTTGAATTAAGTTCCTTAACAGCAACCCAGCAAAGATTTTGGGCTTGAGGCTTTGGTGTGCAGGTGCGGATGCGTTGGGTTCAAGCACGCAGGGAAGGGTTTTGCGAAGTCAGTGGCCTTCCGATTCTAAATGTAGAGTTTCGGGGCTGCTGGAGGAACTAGTTATGAGAAATATGCGTGGGGAATTGTTCTGCGAAAGTTTCTGGAAAGTGAATTTGTCTTGCAACGACGGTCAAGAAATCAAAGCTTAGGATTTAGGGCTGAGGGTCCTGCTTATCACTACCCATGGTTTTCCACGTTGATCCTAAGCAAGCTCTACAAACCTGAGGCCTGCTGACAGAGGAGAGACTCTGAAAGCCCATGGCTTGTAGGGCAGGGGGCTTAGCGTTTAGGGTTTACATAGGGTTTGGGATTTATATAGGGTTTTGGTTTTGTATATGGTTTTTCTGGCTTATGGATTTTCTCAGTGTCGTATGATGTTGATTGCTCTCCTGTTTTGTGATCTACCCACCTTTATGCCGCTGCGCATTC